GTTTAGGTCTGCTTCTTTTTGTAAATTTTATGTGCCTTTGTGGTTTACTTTTGGGGCATGAAAAGCTGATTTGTCTAAGCTTCCGGTTCTCTCTTTTGATTTTATATTGGAATGGTCAGATTGCTTTTGTCTTCAGGAGTCCCCACAGAGGCCCAAGTCAGATGAAGATCAGATGCTCTCAGTTTTTCTCCTAAGGTCTGGATCCCTCCAGGAAAGATGTTGTCCTCGGGAATTTGGGGTTGGACTGGCCTGGGAGCAGGGCCCAGGAAAGATGCTGGTCTCGGGCAGCTGTTGGCCTTGCCACTCAGAGTTGCAAAGGGAGATGAGGTGGGAAGAGGCCCCAAGGGCTCCTGGGGACTGCATTTTTCTCCTAAGGTCTGGATCCCTCCAGGAAAGATGTTGTCCTCGGGAATTTGGGGTTGGACTGGCCTGGGAGCAGGGCCCAGGAAAGATGCTGGTCTCGGGCAGCTGTTGGCCTTGCCACTCAGAGTTGCAAAGGGAGATGAGGTGGGAAGAGGCCCCAAGGGCTCCTGGGGACTGCAGGGAGAACTGGGTTGGTCTGGATGCAAAGGATCAGAAAGCCAAGAGGTCAGGCCCTGTGTCCAGGAAAGAGGCTGGTGGGTTGTGCAGCGCAGGGAAGCAGAGGGAGGTGAGGGCGGAACCAGGCCCAGGGGGCCCCTGAGGACTGCTAGAAGGAACTGGTTTCATCTGGATGCAAGGGATCAGGAAGCAGTGGTGGTTCCCCCAGTGTCTGGGGTGCGAAGACAAGGAATGGGACAGTACCCAGGCCAGGCAAGAGGCTCGTGGGTTGTGCAGGCCCAGGGAAGCAGAGGGAGGTGAAGGCAGGCCCAGGCCCAGAGGGTGCCTGGGGAACCACAAGAAGGACCTGGGTTCCTCTGGATGCAAGGGATCAGGATGTAGTGGTGGTTTTGAGCATAGAGGTCAGCCCCCATGTCCCAGAAAGAGGCTGGTGGGTTGTGCAGCCCAGGGAAGCAGAGGGAGATGAGGGTGGGACCAGGCCCAGAGGTCTCCTGGGGATGGGAGAAGGAACTTGGTTGGTCTGGATGGAAAGGATCAGGAAGCAGTGGTGGTTCCCTCTGTGTCTGGGGTGCCAAGTCAAGGAATGAGCTGTTGGACACTTTTAAAATGTTTATTGGCCAATTGTGTTCTTCGTTTGAAAACTATCCAGTTCTTTGGCCCATTTATTGATTGGCAATTTGAGGTGTTTAGGGGAGGGGTTCTAATTTTTGCAGTTCTTTATGTAGTCTAGATATTGACTCCCTATCTGAAGTGTAGCTAGCAAAGATTTTTCTCCTGTTCCTTAGGCCCTGTATTCACTCTGCTGATAGTTTCCTTTGCTGTATAGAAGCTTTTTTAATTTCATGTCCTTCCATTTGTCCATTCTAGGGGCTGTTTCCTTTGTTACTCAGGTTCTATTTCAGTAAGTTCTTCCCTATGCTATGCTTTGAAGTGTTCTGCCTGTCAGTTTCAGTGTTTCAGGTTTTAAATTAA